ATTTTAATATAAGTAAAGATTTCGGTTCTTACTCTGAAAGCAACAACCCGGGCTTTTAAACATGAAGAAATAACCACCATCCAAAGCCTGCTGGTTTGGGGCAGTAGACCAGCCTGCCCCTTGGCCTCGCCTCACTGCCTTGCCCGAATCCCATCGGGGCCTGTCTTTATGTGGAACATTCATCATAGGGCTTTTTTGATCTTTAATTTTTAAAATACTGCATTAAAATATTACCCATTTTGACCACTGAGTTTTTGTGAGCTCCTTAAATTATGTGCCTGTGACAAGTGCCTCCCACCTGTACCCAGCCCTGCCCTGGCCCAAAGCCACGTTTTGCAGCCTTTCCTTCTTCCGCAGCAGTTGTGAGAACAAATGGTTAGTGGAGATCGACAAGTGGAGCAAAGCACATCCCGGCCATTCCCTCCCGGAGCGGAGCTGAGGATCCAAGGCCCACGGCTAGTACAGGGCCTCCCCGACGTCACTTCCCGGGAATAGCACTTGCTGCTCCCGTCCCCACTGGCGGGGAGAATGCTAGTCTAGGAGGGAGAGGCGCCCTGCCCGGCAAGGCCCTGCCCGAGCCCCTCTTCCCTTCGGTGCAGTTGCAGAAAAGCGGAGGGAAGGCAACACTCAGCCTGGAACTGCGGCTCCCAGGGAAGCTAACGTCGCTCAGAGGAGGGAAAGGGTCAGGGAGAATTCACCTGAAACAGTTGCGCAGGCCAAGGCCTGGGAAAAGCTGTCTGCTGAGCATGAGGAGGAGAGAAAAGAACAAAGATGCGGCATCTATCCAAACATTCTGAAATCAGAAAGCAACAACAAAAGCACAGAGCATACGAATACATACGTTCAATCCTGGGTAAAATCTAATCCAAGGTGGAGAGTCTCCATTTGGACTTTTTGAGTTATAGAACTTAATAAAAACTTGAATTTTAATAAAAACAGCTCAAAGATGAGATAAAAACTGGATGACATTTTATAATAAAAAATAAAGCTGGGCACAGTGACTCACGCCTATAATCCCAGCACTTTGGGAGGCTGAGATGGGAGGATTGCTTGAGGCCAGGAGTTCAAGACTGGTCTGGGCAACATAGTGAGACCCCACCTCTACAAAAAATTTGAAAATTAGCTGGGCATGGTGGTGGCGCATGCCTACAGTCCCGACTACTCAGAAGGCTGAGGCAGGAGGATGGCGTGAGCCCGGAGTTTGAGGTTACAGTGAGCTATGATCACACCACTGTACCCCAGCCTGGGTGACAGAGACTGTCTCAAAAAATAAATTAAAACATTAAAAATAAAAGTCATTTCAGAGCTAAGAAAAACATTGGTGCCCCAAACACCAACACAAAACTAAAATAAGTTAGCAGATGATAAAATTTTCCAAAATAATGGCCGGGGGGAGCTGAATCTGCAATTAGAAATGACACACCAGGCCGAGGTGGGCGGATTGTTTGAGCTCAGGAGTCCGAGACCAGCCTGAGCAAGAGCGAGACCCTGTCTCTACTAAAAACAGAAAGAAATTAATTGGACAACTAAAAATATATAGAAAAAATATATGGTGGCGTGTGCCTGTAGTCCCAGCTACTCGGGAGGCTGAGGCAGGAGGATCGCTTGAGCCCAGGAGTTTGAGGTTGCTGTGAGCTAGGCTGACGCCACGACACTCTAGCCCAGGCAACAGAGTGAGACTCTGTCTCAAAAAAAGAAGAGAAGAAATGACACACTGTATTCTCGGGGTGGGGGGTTATAGAAAAGATTCAGAAAAATATCAACACTAGCATGTTTCCTAACAGGCTATTGAATATTAAAAATGAGGAAGAGTCCCTAAGCAATCGGACAGAAAGAGCAGTCACTTCCGCGGGGACAGTGGGGTGCCCTGAGCCCTCTGCATGGGCCCTGGACAGGGAGCGCTCAGGAAGGCGAGTGGTCGCGCCCGAGAGCAGGCGTGCCATGCGCCAGGGCGACATTTCTCACTCCACGTCCTACATCCCAATAAACACAAATTCACACACACAACAGAAGTGCTGAGGGCAGAAGCACGGCCGGGAAAGGCCATGCTCTGCACACTGCCCTTCAAGCATAAAGGTGCCATCGTGGTCACAGAAGCAGATGTGGCACATCTCGTTGGCGTGCAGGTAACACTGTTGAACGAGATCAGGGACACAGGACAAAGTCCGTGAATTCCTCTGCCTTGTCTAGTGGTTAATGCACACTCCGTTGGTTTAATTAAAAAAGAGGTTTAACATCATTAAAGGAAACCACCAGAAGTACAAAAACTGCAGCCTAACCATCAAAACCCAGACAGCCTGAGCATGGAGGAAGGTGGAAGGACTGTGTATCCAATGCAGTTTTCAGGTTTCGTAGCTGTCAAAAGATATCGCCCAAATTTATTAGATCACTAGACATTAAAACAGACATGAAAGAAATGAAGACAAATTCATTAAATCATGTTTTTTCTGCTTACGACTCTGCAGACGGAGCAAGGCTTTGTGGGACAGCTCACCCTGGCTCCCCTCGGTGTCAGCTGGGATGGCTGCAGGGCTGAGGCTGGGAACTCGTAAATCGCACCTGCTCACCCGCATCCAAACCTGGGCTGGGAGACGCACACCACAGGGCCGGGACAGGCACGGCTCCCTGGGCATCTCTGTGTCTACCTACGTGGACTCTGGACGTGGCCTCTCCAGTGCGTGGCTTCAGGGGAACCAATCGAGACATAGTTTTTATTTTGTATTATTTTTTGAGACAGGGTCCCGCTCTGTTGCCTGGGCTAGGATGCAGTGGTGTCACCATAGTTCACTGCAACTTCCAACTCCTGGGCTCAGGCCACCCTGCTGCCTCAGCCTCCTGAGTAGCTAGGACTACAGGAGCACACCACCATGCTCAGCTAATTTTTAAATTTTTTGTAGAGACGGGGTCTTGCTATGTTGCCCAGGGTCTCAAACGCCTGAACTCAAGCGATCCTCCTGCCTCAGCCTCTCAGAGTGCTATGATGATAGGAATCAGCCACCACGCCAGCAAGATATGGGTTTTTTAATCTATTAAATTGGCAGCTGTGATGCCCAGTGCTGGCAAGGACGGGAGATCTATTGCTGGCAAGAGTAAGCTGACAAAACCACGTGGAAAAGCAATCTGGCAATATACACCAAAATGTTAAATGCTGTTTGTTCTAACAATTCCACTGTTAGGAATTTACCTTTCGGATATAAACAAAAGCTGACCAAAATATTCAGTACAAAAATGTTCACTGCAGCATTGAATATACTAGCAAAAAAATTGAAAACCCGAGCGGCCATCAGCAGAGGCTATGCTGGTAAACAGCGTTGGTTCAAACCTCACGGCCACCCTGCTGATCGCCCACGCCACCACGGGGTACAGCCTCAGCTACGGGAACTCTCCCAGCTCAGGCGCACACGCACCGGTGCCCCCTCCCATCACGCCTCCTGTGCAGCCAGTGCAAACTGGTGTCTTCACACCCACCACTGCAGCTTAAAGTCCATCAGGGTATCCCAAATCTCCGCAAGACCCCACACACCCTCACTTCTCCAGCGTCCTCCCTGGCCTCCCACAGCCCCTCCCTCTCCACTCCTAGCCTCAGGGCGCAGGCAAGGACTGTTTTCTGCCTCTGTTTCCTTCCCCCAGCCGTCAGGGAAGGCCTCCCGTCATCCCAAGGAGATAAGATTCCACCAACCAGGCCCAGCTCGGTGGCTCATGCCTGTAATCCTAACACTCTGGGAGGCCCAGGAGGGAGGATAGCTCGAGGTCAGGAGTTTGAGACCAGCCTCAGAAAGGGTGAGACTCGGTCTCTGCTAAAAATAGAAAGAAATTAGCTAGACAACTAAAAATATATAGACAAAATTAACCAGGCATGGTGGCGCATACCTGTAGTCCCAGCTACTCGGGAGGCTGAGGCAGGAGGATCCCTTAAGCCCAGGAGTTTGAGGTTGCTGTGAGCTAGGCTGATGCCACGGCACTCACTCTAGCCCGGGCAACAGAGCAAGACTTTGTCTCCAAGAAAAAAAAAAAGATTCCACCAACCCCCACCCTACCTCTTAGCACTCAGTGCTAATTTCACACTTTTAACAGTTGCCCTTTTACTTTGGATATCACCAGTATTTGTCTCACCCCACCAAACCATTAGTCATGATAGCAGGGTCTGTACCTACACTGTCCCTGGCACCTAGTATGCAGCAGATGCTCAGTAAGTACTGGCTGAAGTGGCTGCACATCACACAGGAAGCAACGAGACAGAGCTGTGCTTCTTCCAGCTAATGAGAGCCAGGAAAGGTGCGCACACTCTGATACGGAAAGGCTTCTAGGGGGACACACAGGGAAGCTTCACCGGGGCAGTGTGAAACCTTTGCGCCCTTTCGTTTAATTAAAACAATGATCTAACCAAGACAGTTGCTCTAAGCTGGACCGTTATGGCTACACGTGACAGCAACCCAACAAATTACCCTAAGTAAAAACAGAAAAAACCAGGGACAGGGCTTGTTTCAGCCATGGCCGGGTCCAGGTACCTCCACCAGGGTGTGGAGCCCGCCCCGCCTGCCGCTGCTCGTGGTGGCTCCACTCTCAGCTCTCCTCTCCTATAGCTGCAGCCTCACACCACCCCATGCGTGAGAACAAGACACACCTTCCTGCTCCAGCAAACTCCCTGGGACTAGGCCTGCCTGAGGCCTAGATCGCAGGGGCTTCGTCCCTCCAGTGGGCGTGGCCTGGAGGCCTGGGGACTGCAGGGCAAACGTCCCACCCACAGCACTGAGAGCGCAGAGGGTGTGGTTTGTTAGAGGAAATGTGAGTGGCTACTACAGAAGGCGGAACAGATGCTACGAAGCCAAAACACTCATCGCGGTAAACTGGTAAATGTACTTTTTTTGGTGGGGGGCGGGGGGGGGGGGAATCAAACTGTTAACGTAGCTTCCACTGGGACGAGGTACTGGCAGCAGGGGAGGGCTGTACTTTTCACTTTGCGCCATTCTTTAACACTGACATTTTCTAACCCTGTACACGTGCTGTTTTTAATTTCTTAAAATCACAATTGAGTTTTTTCCAAAGAATTTTAGTTCTTAAAAATGACACCTGTATATAAATGTTCTCTCGTTCAGAGTAGGCTCCAACACATGAACAGCGAAATCAGACGTTAATAGTAGCACATCATGTTAGGACCATACAGAACACCACAAATTTAGGCACTTTGTCAAGAAAGAAAAATGCTTAGAAATTAATGAGGTTATCACGTCTTCTGCCACACCCTGCAGGGCCAGAGCTGATTCTCCACATACGCTCAAACGGTCACGTTAAATGGAACTTATGAACCCCCGACACCAGCATTACTCGTTCCTAAATAAGGAAACGAAAACAGGTTTTATTGACCACATAAAACCTGACAGGCGCACGAAAAGTTCTCTTCAGCTGATGAGTGCAATTCAAGTCAAAGATGTTCGAAGTTAACTGCTCAGATTTCCAAGCGACATTATTTTCTGTTCTGCTCTGCCTGCAGAGATTTTGGATTTACACACCCTGGCTTCCTGGTTATATATATATATTTAGGTATCAGAGCTCGCTGCAGGGCTACCACGGCATGTCCTACCTCCATAGCAATGAAAATGGTGTTTGTGGCAGAAGAGTCTGATTCAATTAGCAGTTTTAAAAACTTGTCTGATTAGAATCTGCTATCCTTTTAGTTAACAGAAAGTAAAAAGCACGAACACAGCAGGCCCCCAGTCAGGGCGTGGAACCTCAGTAGAGTCAATGACTCGCCAAGTTTCAATGGGAAAAAGCAACCCGGTCCAGTCCACGTAAGGTGTTTCCACAGTAAACATGAATTTGTCAGTGTCCGACATTGCTAATTAGAAAACCTCTGTCTTCTTATTTGAAGACTGTTAAATAGTGATTCTCATACTGACAATGAGACAGACCATTTCTAGAAGAAACTAGAATGTCATTCGGTGTGTGGTTTCCCGTGCCCACCCCCGCCCGAGCCCGGCAAGGGGCTCCGTGTCCGTGTGTCCCTCTGCAGAGCGCCACGCTGCCCCATCACAGGTCCTCCCTTCTGCTCCCAGCTCGATTGTCTTCCTTGGAAGTCCGAGGTTTCGGATCTCCTTCCTTCTTCTTTTTGCCCTTGTCTTGCTTTGTTTTATTTTTCTCTTTGCTTCCTCCTCCTTTGCCAGGATATACCTGTCCCTCCAGAGTGACATCAGCACACCTGTCTTGACTGACCAAAAAGTCCTTGATCTCCCAGGCGTAGCTCCCATCACGCAGCATGAAGATGGCGCGGTCTGATCCCACGATGAACCTGGACACAGATGCGGTCACAGTTAGCACACGCTAGGAAGGGGCTAACGGGTCAGAGCAAGTCTGTGGCACTTACCAAGAAAAACAGTTCACTGCACATTCTACATGAATGTGGAACAAAACACTGTATTCTCCAAGGCCTAGTAGCTACTGATAGGGAATATCTGAAAACAGTAACTCACTGAACTATTAAACACCCGGCTCAGATCAAAACAGACACAGACGCTGGCTGTTCCTCTGTGGTATAAGGGACGCTCACGTTGAGGAGAACACTGAGAAAGGCTCTCCAGGATACTGCAGAGATAGCACAGGGGCTGCTGGCGGGGAGGGGAGGAGGAGGCTTTCATTCGTATCCGTTTTATATTCTAAAAGTGTCCAGTTAAAGTTTTATGCAGCAAGACTTATGCTGATAAAGGCTGAAAACCACTGCCTTAGAGTGGGTCATGATAAGAGGCCCTTGAAGAGCTCAAGAAGACACTCGGCTACCGGACAGAGATCCTAACCCCAGAGGTTAACAGCAAGCAGCCCAGCTCGTCCACACTCCACAGGTGCCAAGGAGCAAAGAGGAAGAGAATGGGGTCGGGGTGGACCGCTAGGTGGCCAGTGGGCACAAGTCTTCTGTTCCGGAGGGACTACACCACATTGTCACCCTCCCATTTATAATATTCCCAACACTCCACTGAGTGGTACTTCCAAAGCAGTCCACCAAGACCTTTATTTGTTCTCTTTAAACGTCTATTTAACACAGTGACTGCCGCACTAGAAAAAAAAATTTTTCCTTGGGACCACAGTGTTTTATTACGAAAATAGAATAAAAACTTCGAAAACAAAAGGAACTTTTCTAATTTAATGAAAAATTTATTATTGACTTCTATTCATTTAATCCACGTTTTTACAATTAAATTATCAATACTAATTGTAACAATAAGAACATCAATAATTGACATTTTCACGAGCCAACTGCAGGGTTTTGCCCAGGTTTTGCTTCACGAGGCCCCAGATTCAAAACTAGTGTGAGTTAAATACAACTCACACGGCAGTTAATGTGTTAAGCTAATGAAAGCATTCTGCTGGCCTGGACATTATATATACTTCCTCAGCTGAGATATTTGAAGACCCCAAACTTCAAAACTGTTGTCGAAGGGAAAAAAGCAGACTCCTTAACATTGTAGCTCAGGACCATGCTGGGCCGTGAAAACCGGGCCCCTTCCCGTTAAATACGCTGCCTGTTGAAAGTATGGTCCGAACTTCACGTGTGAACACAGCTACACGCAAAAGCATTCTCCACTGAGCAGCAACTTCCAAAGGAAGCAAACTGTCACTAATCTGTCCCTTTGAAAGGCTACGCTATACAACCCTTTATTCATGAATAAAAGCTAAAGATGTAAGGATAAATAGAACTTTAGGATCAAATCAGATAGTAGAAACAAACAAACAAACTTACTGTCTTTGACCAATAATGAATGCTCTCCTTTAAAGGGAAAAAGTTAAATAAATAAATTAAAAGGAGCTACGGCTGGGAAGGCCAGGCCCTGGGCAGGTGCTGGCAGGACGGACGCCCGCCGCAGCCGCAGCCGCAGCCGCAGCCGCAGAGCAGCCCGGCCCAGCTGCCATGTCCTCAGCCGAGTCGGAGCTTTACCTCTGGACGTCGTAGTTGGCATTGAACAGACTGCCCTGCCAGAGGCTTGTGATCTCCTCTGTCTCCTTCTCAGTGGGGCTCCCCGACACGGTGACAAACATCATGAGCGTCTTCCCCTTTTTGGTCATTTTCAGTATGCTCTCAGGCTTGCCCGGGTCTATCTTCGAGAAGTCGACGGGCGCAGGGGGTCTCTTGTGCTCTGGAAGATCTCCTTCTTCTATGTCGTCATCTTTCTGTCGGGGTGGGGAGAGCGTCAGACTCGTCATCAGAAACTCGCTTCTCAACTGTCACGGGCAAAAACGTCTGCACATGGCGTCGCGTGCAGGCACACGACTAAGCTGCAACAGCAAAGGAAAACTCGGGATTTCCTCCTCCACCTGACCTTCAAGCAAAGCCTAAGTTTCAGGCAGTACCTACCGCCCCTCGCGCCAGGTTACCGCACACAGGGCACCACCACGTGACGGGCTTCCGGAGTGTTCCGCTCCCCCAGAACCCACTCGATATGGGGGACTGTAAAGACGGCCGCGCTGCGGCACGGTCACCCGGCGAAACACTTCACAGCAATGCAGAAGAGCAAACACTGATACGCGCGACGAGTCTCAAGTACTGAGTGACAGAGTCAGCCGCAGAATAAGATACACAATTCCATTTATTTAAGAATAGGCAGAACTAGTCTAGGGTGACGGAAACTACAACAGTGGCTGCCTACGGGCGGGCTAGGGGGAGGGACTGAGTGAGAAGGGACAAGAGAACTTGTCCCTAGTGTATGTTTTGACAGGGACGTGCATTACACACGTGGATCCATTTGTCAAAACTCACTGCTCTGTATACCTAAAATCTGCTTCCACGATTCACTAGGAGGACCAAAAAAAGTGCTGATACGCATCCATCCGCCTAAATAATCAGCACTGTACAAACACTTTCAGTTCTAGTTACAGTCTGCTTTCCGCGGTGGCATGAGCTAGCAACGCTGACCCTGTCTTCTGTGACGGCTAGGCTTGAGGCAAGGAGTAAATATTTTGAGGGTGAGAACCAGGTTGCTCACTTTTGAGAAGAAAGTTACAAATATGAAAGGGGGAAGAACGTACCCTGTGGTATCAGGCTGAAATTGGAGGCATCAGGACAAAACTCATGGTTTTTAATAGATTAATAAACAGGTAGAGATAAAACACTTAAAAGAACCTGGGTTCCGGCCGGGCGCGGTGGCTCACGCCTGTAATCCTAGCTCTCTGGGAGGCCGAGGCGGGAGGATCTTGTTTGAGCTCAGGAGTTCGAGACCAGCCTGAGCAAGAGCGAGACCCCGTCTCTACTAAAAAAAAATAGAAAGAAATTATCTGGACAGCAACAAAAATATATATATAGAAAAAATTAGCTGGGCATGGTGGCGCGTGCCTGTAGTCCCAGCTGCTCGGGAGGCTGAGGCAGGAGGATCGCTTGAGCCCGGGAGCTGGAGGTTGCCGTGAGCTGGGCTGACGCCACGGCACTCTAGCCCACGCAACAGAGCAACACTCTGTCTTAAAAAAAAAAAAAATAAGCTGAGTTCCTGGGAAAAAAGGCTAATTAGAGCAAGGAATATAGAGGACGAGCCCAGAAGTATCTTCTTGCATCACAAAGTAAGAAAGTGCTCAAAGAATCGTCAACAGGCTGGGTGTGGTGGCTCACCCTTATAATCCTAGCACTTTGGGAGGCAGGAGGATCATTTGAGGCCAGGAGTTCAAGACCAGCCTGGGTAACATAGAGAGACCCACTTTCCTCAAAAAAATTTAAAAAATAAAAATAATTAGTTGGGTGTGGTGGCATGTGCCTTAAGTCCCAGCTACTCTGGAGGCTGAGGCAGGAGGATCACTTGAGCCCAGGGTTCGAGGCTGTAGCAAGCTATGTTGACACCACTGCACTCAGCCTGGGTGATGGGGTGAGATCCTGTCTTTGAAAAAAAAAGAAAAAAGGAATCATGTAATATGTCAAAATGGCAGAGAAGCCAACTTGAAGTAGCTCTCATGGGCTAAATCTGGAATAATCTGAACATCAAAATAAATAGTAGTAATGATTTATAATCCCCCAAATAATATAAGAGCCATTGAATCCATACTAATATAAACAAATGAATAAATAACTAAGAGTAAAATACCAACCAATAAACAGAATATAGATGGACAGATAGATAAAAAATATTTACAAGAATCACGTTCTAGAACCAAGGAACCAGGTTCCTTGAGGAAAAGGCTAACTTGAGCAACAGAAAGAAATGAAGTACCGATGACGCGTGTGCTACAACACGGCATCGTGCTAAGCGCAAGACGCCAGACCCGAGAGACACACAGACTACGATTCTGTGTAGGAAACGTCCAGAATAAACACATCTGTCGAGACAGAAAGTATATATTGGTGATTAGGGCTGCCGGGGGGTTGGGAGAAAAGGGGGAGGGGTGATCGAGGGTTTCTTTTTGGTGTGATGAAAACATTCTAAAATTGATTGAGATGGTGGCTGCACAACTCACCGAATACACTAAAAACCACAAAATGTGCACTTTAAATGTGTGAACTGCATGTGGCATGTGAGTTATATCTCGGTAAAGCTGTTAACAAAAAACCAACCTAAAATGAACCAAGAAGCCCCTATGTCACACTTACTTGGTTCCCCTGACAAACTCTGAAGGGCCAAGGCTAAGACACCAGTAACAATGTACTGCATGAAAAATATTTTTAATAAAAAGTGAGAAGAGAAAAGTTCCACAGCAGCGTCGGGTCACACAAGCAGCTGTGTGACCCGGGAGAAGGTTCCACACTCCTCGAGGCCTGTTTGCTCATCCACAGAACGAAAAGCAGATCGAAGATCTTTGAGGCCCCAGCAGTGTGACCACACATAACATACCAACTTTCTCAACTCTGTCCCCTCTCACCCGACCTGTTTCTTCCTCACTTTGCGCTGAAAGAGCCGCTGGCAGTGACCTGCAGACGGGGACTCGGCTGTGCGGCCAGATGGATTTGGGTTCCGCTCCAGATGGATTTGGGTTCCGCTCCGGCTCCACCACTGTGTGGCCCCGGGTAAGCTACTTAGCACCTCTGCAAATAGCCTTCCTTACCTGCGGTGGGAGGTGGGGTGACGGTACCCTCCCCTAAGATGTGTCTGGGGACTCAGTGACTCAAAGGCGAGCAGTGCTCAGTCCTGTACGCTGCTATCACGCTGCTCGCTCCTTACGCTCTGTAAGCCGGCCTCGGTCGCCCCACGGAAATTACACTCTCGGAGTCACCAAGGAGCTCCTGCTTGCCAAATTCACAGGCAGTTTCTGTTTTCATTCTGTCCTGCTTCTCCGTAACATCTGCTATGGTCTCGTTAAAACGCTCCAAGACTTCTAGTTGGTTCGATATCCTTTGGTTTTCAAACTGATTTCACTAATGATTACGAAATTAACTCAGCAGGTCACAAGCAGCATTTCTTTTTTAATGAAAATATAATTAAATAATCATAAGTATGGGTAAAAACTGTTCCAAGAAACTTTAATTTTCATTTTATGTCTTTGTGTGTGTTTCAGTTATAGAAAAAAAACAACCGAAAAACAGCACCCTAATGAGCCTGCAGGACGTCATGTTAGGAGAACTGAGCCAGGCACAGAAAGACAAATGCCACATGTTCTCACTCACATATGGGACCTAAAAGAGTTGTGCTCACAGAAGTAGAGAACAGAGCTGTGGTTACCGGGGGCTGGGAAGGGAGGAGCGAGGGGTAGGAGAGGACGGTTAAGAGATACAAATCACAGCTAAGCAGGAGGAGTAAGTTCTAGCTTCTATAGCACTGTAGGGTGACTACAGTTAACAATAATTTATCATATATTTTCAAACAGCTAGAACAGAATTTTAAATGTTCTCAACACAAAGAAATGATAAATGTTTGAGGCGACAGATATGCTAATTATTCTAAATTGGTCATTACACATAGTATATACTTACGTATCAAAATACCACTCTGTACCCCATAAATACAGACAATTATTACGTGTTAATTAAAACACACAAAAAAATAGTACCCTAGATGTAGGTAACTGTTCAGTTCTACTCTTGGTCCCACTGCATTGCTGAGTAATCTAATCTGTCTTTATCATTTTCCCTATGCTGAAAACAGTCCAATTCCTACCCCCAGGCAGGGCTGGAACCTGGGCCACCAAGCCAGGCCCGCCCCTGACCCAGCTCCAGCCCTGCCTCCAGGTCAGTCTTGCATTTTCAACTGGCTTCTTACCTTCCCCATTACAGTCTGTCAAGGTCAACAGCTACAAAGCGGAGACTCCCTTTCTGCAAATCCTTTCCTTCCTTGACAATAACTACGACCTACGGAGTAGCTACTACGAAACACTTCTCAGACACTATCTCCATCCTTCAGAACAATCCTACTTGGTCTTCGATTAACACAGAGGAAGATGAGGCTCAGAGAGGGTAAATATGATAATTTACTCACAGGCTAGAAAAGATAACAAGGAAGTGCAAACCCACATTTCTGGCTCCAAATTCCCCCATCTGCCCCTTCCCACCTCACCTGGTTAGCATAATGTAAAAGGAATAACCACCTTTGGCTATGCTTCTGCACCAACGGGGACTCAGCACAAGCTCCAACACAATGAGAAAGTTCCTACCTTCTTCCCACACGTCTGAGGTGCAGCCTGCCACGAAGCACTGATTCTCACACCACCAGGGGAGGATGGGGGTGTGGATTTGGGGCCTGACCCTGGGGGAGGAAGAACCGCTTGCTACGAAAAAGCAGCCACGGAGACGGAGATGCTCTCCCAGAAAATCACTGCCACAGGGCAAGGGTGCTCACTCTGCCCACTGTCACATCAGCTCGTTTAGTCTGCAGGGCGCCCTGCCCACTGGGATGTTCCCGGCTTTACACATCCCTGAAACGAGCGAACAGCTGGCGAGGGGTGAAGCTAGGTTCGAACTCCGTCCTTCTACTCCACATGCTGTCACCCTCCTGTCCACACAATCAGCCAACTACCAAGTCCTGTTAAGAGCATGGTAGCTCTCACATTTCTCCCTTCTGCTCTACTCCTGCAGCTTGTAGCTTACCCCAGGTCTTCCTCAGCTTTCCTTTGTGCGTCTGTTCACCAGTGTGCCCGGCACTGCAGTGAGATGCTTCAAAGAACAGGCTCTAAAGTCAAGTGACGGAATTTTGAAACTCCGCTGGCTTGCTGTGTGGCCTGGAGCAAGTTATTTAACCTCTCTGTGCCTTAGTGTCATTTAGAAAACAGGGATACGTACCTCCCTCATCGATGGGGTAAAAGGATTAAATGAGATAATGTGTTTTTCTAGGCCTTCAGATTCTGTGCCCTCAAGGCAATGCAGTAACCCAGGGATGCTTAACAGCTGCCAAATGAGAACGGGAAGAGCAAAAAATCCCATCTGTGCTACGATTTCAGCCGTAAAAATTAAGTCTTCATGTGGTAAGGCACTCAAACAAGCGGGCGTGTTTTGAGATAAGGTTATGAACATTCCAGTATGGGATATTTGGGTAATACAACTTTTCATACTCCGCAGGCCGACACACATCCTAAATAAAGTGCGAACCCCGTAGCATTTATGGCCTGGTTCCCACCAATCTTTCCGCTTTCGCTTCTCATTACTTTGCTTCAGACGCAGTCCGTTCCAGCCAACCCAAGTTATCCAGCATAGCTGGTGACTATGGAGTTGTACTAGTCCAGGCTCTTTCCATGTTCTCAGTGAATCCTTGTAACTACTCTGAGGTGGGCACTGCTAACACCTCTACTTCACAGATGAAGAAACTAAGGCACAGAGTTCTTTGCCTGTCCAAATCCACAAGTTTAAGTGGTTTGAACCCAGGCACTGTAACTCCAGGGCCTGGGCAGTCAACCTCCGTGCTCTTCTGCCCAGTTCCCACGCCTCATCCTCAGCTCACGCTGGGAGAGATGCGTTTCTCCCACATTTTCCTTGGCCTACCTAAAACGCCATTTCCTTCCCGAAGCCCTTGAGATTCCCACAGCACCCAGGAATTTCTACTTTGCATTACGGCTTTTTTTTGTTTTTGTTTTTGAGACAGAGTCTCAATCCATTACCCTGGGTAGAGTGCAGTGTTGTCATCACAGCTCACTGCACCCCCAAACTCCCGGGCTCAAGCGATCCCCCTGCCTCAGCCTCCCAAGGAGCTGGGACTACAGGTGCATGCTGCCACACGCAGCTACGTATTAGGGTTATTTTAATTATCTACCGTGCCTAATGGAGTCCTTGTTCATCTCTGCAACACCCTCTTCATCTAGCTCAGGGTCTAAATATTTACAGGGTAGGATTTCTCTTGAGTTGATGTTCTCACTCTTGCACACCAAGGCTTTATTTGCTGGCGTCCAAAAAGAGACAGGGAGATTGCAAGCGAGAGGGAGAATGAATGGGCGAGTTCCCTCTTCACACTCAAATCTCCCCCAATCTTTCCATCAGCTGTTGATAAAACGCATGAAAACACAAGTCTGCTTTCTTCTGGTCAAATGCATCAGGTGGTATTTTAAACTCATGCCTGAGGTCTTTAGCCCCTCCCCACAACACACAGAGATAATTACAAAATAACAAAACATCGGTGTTGTAAGGAGTCTTAGGTCTCATCCAGCAAAACCTCCACATTTTGCAGATAAGGAAACCGAAGCCCAGAAGGGAGACACGACCTGCCCAAGGTTACATCTCTGTTCAAATCAGCCAGGACAGTCTAACCACCTTTGGAAGGGAACAAGGCAGCGCCGAGTTTTTGGTCCAGTGAACTTTCCCTTAAAAGCCGATTACGCACGCCCTGAAATTGCACGCTCTATGGCTTCCAAGTCACAATCCAGAAAACTCGCTCTCGCAGAAGCGTGTCACTGCTCTTTCAAGGAACAGTGTGAGTTCTTAGCCGCTAGCCTTTGCCACTTATCCTCCCTCCCAATAAAACAAATCCATCCGCAAAACTGCGAAATCCCCAGCAGGGACATACACCAAAATGGGAAGTCCGAAATTCTACTGACTTACAAGACACGAGAACGACCGAAGCTGAGACAGCCCTCTGGGAAGGCAACCGTCCGAAACCCGCTCCCCCGCCCGCCCCCCACGACAAAGGGGAGAGGAGGAAACGCTCTTGAGGGCAGCGGCGGCCCCGGGGTCGGCGCAGAGGCGACCCGGGCCCTGGGGGACGGCGGGGCGGAGGTGCTGCCCGTGACAGGAGTGGCCCGCGGGGCGGGGGCAGGAGGAAGAGGACACCGGGACGAGAGGGCTGGGGCGAGGGTCGGCGGGGCGTCAGGGGTCAGAGGGCACTCGGAGGGTCGGCGGGGCGTGGGGGCGTCAGTAAGGACGTGGCGGGGCAGCGAGGTTAGGGGTCAGAGGGCCCGGGACGGGCAGGGTCAGCGGGAGCGGGGTCAGGGACAGAGTAGAGCCGGGGGGCGCGCGGACCTCCCACTGTTCCAGAAGCCGCGCCATGTCCGCGTCATTGTAGTCGCGAATGTCCTTCTTCTTCTTCCGGGGCGGGGGGGCAGCCTCGTCAGGCGTCCCGGCCGGGCCCTCGCCCGCGCACGCCCCGCGCGGCGGCAGCAACAGCAGGTCGGAGGCGCAGAGCAGCAGCAGGGCCGCGCGCGCCCAGACGGAGGCCGCCATCTTCGCCGGGTCCCCGCCACGCCGCCCCCGCCGGCCTCCTGGCCCCGCCCCACGGACGCACGGCCCCGCCCCCGCAGGCGCCGGCTCTCGGGGCCCCGCCCCCCGGCGCTCGCCGGCCTACCGGGCCCCGCCCCGTCTCATTTTCCTTAGGCCCCCACCTCTGGAAGCCCCGCCCCCGCCACCTTGGCCCCGCCCCGCGGTCCGCCCGGGCTGGGTCCGTCCCAGTTTCCGTCTCCGGAACGCACAGGCCGGGTCCTGGCCACCGCCGGGCCCTGCAGGGACCGCCAGCAGCTCCCGCGAGACCTGCTTCTCGCCTGCGAACTGCACCGAAGCGGGGAGCGGCGCGGCCTCCGCCTCGGCGACGCCCACTCGGGGCCCGCGACCGCGGCTGCCTCTGCGACCGGGGAACGTTCGACGCTAACGGAAGTCCGAGACGGGTCGGCTCGGAATTCACTTCAGCCAACTTTCAGTATCGCCGTCGTCGCCAAAACGCCAAAGTTTTTAAGTCACCATTTTTCATTTTTTAAAAATAGCTTCAGTGTTTGATTCCAACCGACACTGGAGGCTCTGACTAATGACCCTTCCCGAGGGGGAATCGCGCTGGTTTGGTTGTTTACTTTAAGATTCCACGAGTTGCTGGGCAGCGATTTCTTCTAATTGCTAATTACATGAGAAGACGTGGTGGCTCCTCAGTCACCTGGTACCCAGCCTCTTTCTTATCCCGTTCCTTTGTAGTGGCCTGTGGCTTCCATCCTCAAGGTCACCGCAAGTTCCAGGATGGCTGCTGGAGCTCCGGCCATTAAGATGACATTCACCCAGAGGAAGGAGGAAGGCCGGCCAAACAGAGCACACCTTTCAAATGGAGTCACCTTCTTTTAAGCAGCCTACTTGAACGTTGTACACAATACTTATGTTTACATCTCACTGGCTGAATGAAGCCTAGCCCTCCAAGGGAGGCTGAGAACTTGTCTCCTAGCTGTGTACACTGTCACCTCAAATAAAATTGGGATTCTGTTATCAAGGGAAAAAAATCAAAGGGAGGCTGAATAAGCAACTAGCTAGCAATGTCTGCCTTCCTTCACTCTTAGGACGAATGCAGTTTAAATTGTCTCCCGCTGTAGTGGTAGTTGGTAGTCTGCACATTCGTGCGTGCATCTCCATGTAAACACCCTATGCTATGACATTTCCTATTGACATTGAACAGCAACAACTCATAAGGTTTTTTTTTCCCCCTGAAATCATAGGGGAAATGTCATGAGCTTTCTCCCTGGAGCACACTGCTCCACCCAGTGGCTTGGAGCCCCATCCTGGTGCAGTCATACTAAAAAACATGCACAGCTGTGGCTGATCATGTGCTCTGTTGGGAGGGGTCACCCTGGTAACTCATTTGCCAGCTTCCAAGTTAAGGGGCAAAAGTGCTGGGATTCTTGGCCACAGTAACTAGTTATAGATTATAAAAGTCATTGAGAGTTTTACAGAAATTGTTGGGATTGTGTAAAAAGTTCCAGGGCTACTGACTTTCATCTAAGCAGGAAATCAATTTAGCATATAATCCACTGATGCGAAAACATCTGGATCGATGGCAGTTTCAACATTTTGATATTTGACACGTATTTTGGTATTTGGAACTTGACTCTGGAGGAATTTATTTACTAAGGACGTACTGTTAATCAAGAATGAGGTGAGGCACTGACGGAAAGATTAAGGTAACAGAAATCCTGCTTTTGGACTAGCAGAGGAGATAGATACACAGTAAACGTCATGCAGATTACGGGCGATCAGGGCCTGAAAGGACGATAATGTCCCTATTTTAAGTAAGAAACCCTCGTTTTGGAGTTACGTGACTGGTCTGAGGCCACGTAGCTGGTGCGGCAGCAAGGCAGGAATGCGAGCCCAGGTGCGCTGGACAACCAGGTCCAGTCTTCCCTGGTGCCTTTCTTCCGTCGTGACACCATCTGGGCTCATCAGCGAGGCACTCGGGATCGTGAAACTGGGAGCCACGTGGAAAACGGACGGAAAAGAGTCTGGAGCCAGGAGCAGTGAGACAGGACAAGAGTCTGAACGGGGTCTGAGGCAGTGCAGTGCAGGGCTGGAGAAGAAAGAAGTGAAAGGACTGTGTGATCGTGGCCTACGTAAAGCCACCAGCCTCTCTTTGCCCTGGGGTTGCTACTAAACCCACCTCTAAGTGGTTTGGCCACTGTGTGTGGTAACATTGAATCTCAGATCTACTTGGTGTCCTAACTCGAGCTCCTGGCACGCATCACCCCACAGCAGAGGACAGTAAAGCAAGACTTTCTGGCACTATTTGGAATCAGGCAGGGGTGATACTCAAGATGCTGAAAAACAGGAATAGCACAATTACCAATTAATCTGAACTGAGGCCTGTGACCCGAAGGGTAGTCCCCGTTACGCCAAACATGAACTCTTTAATGACTAAACCATGGGACGGTATGGGGGGAGGGGTCTGGGGGTGGAGCTGAGGTAGGAATCGGGGAGGCAATGACTATTTACCAATTTTGACTTTTGCCGCTTTTTAGTCTAATGCAAGAACAGAGGCACTGCATACCTTCTGGGTTTTATGTGCCCCAAAATTTACACTCTTTAAAATTTTTAATTACATAGAAAGACATGAATCATTTGCTTTAGTTGTGAAACTTTTGTTGCAACTGGTTGCCTTTTGATTACAATTTCGCATTTTCAGTAGAGAACGTGATGGGCCCACCTGGGGCAGGTGTCTGTTCCTGGTCATCACCACCATTATCTGTGAACAGGAGAGCAGGACTCATAGAGTTAAACATAACCATTAAAACTTGTGTTTGCCAAACACTATGAAAAAAAGCTTAAAGGCAATAAATTAGGAGAAAAACTGCAACATGGTATATACGAAGATAGCTTACAAATCGGAAATAAAAAGATGAACACCTCAGTGAAAAATGGGACTGGCTATAAACAAGTATAAATACAGAATAAATATAAATAGAATAAATATTAATGGCAAATTCATCTATGACAAAAAAAAAGATCATAATCTTGCTAGGTATCTAAAAAATGCAAACTCAAACAAGGTATCATTGTTTACCTATCAGCTGGTCTTGGATAAAAATAAAGACAGCACATCCTTGGCAAGGCTGAAGAAACAAGCCTTCTCATTCACTTCCGTAGAGTTTTTCTGCATGAAAATTAGGTGAAATATATCAAAACCCCCCCAAATGTGTACAATCTGATTTGCGATTCTACTTCCAAGTACTGATTCTGAGGAAATAGACAATGAAAATAATAGAAATGATGATAATATTGAGCCCTTAGGATGTGGCAGGCACTCTTCCAAATGTTTCACATGTGTTTCTTCATTTACCCACTGTAACAATCCTACCAACACTCTCCATGAGAGGGGAAGACAGGAACCATCCGTTTCAAAAATAGCAGACTGTAAAATCTACATTTACAGATTGCAAGATACAGTCCACTCACACAATGGAAAGCAATGCAATCATTACATATGATGAGATATCATAGGTGTAGATTTGTTGCTACTAAAGATGTTCACTTTATATTAAATGATAAAAAATGATATTAAAATTATATAGATATGTATATTATGTACAGGAAAACTGCTGCAAATATGTACATAATGGCTTTCTCTAAGCAGTGAGATTTCAAATTATTTTAACCTTTTCTCTACATTTTCTATTTTTCTCCACATCTAACATATATCAGTTGTGTTTTAAATGGGAAAGACGCACAAATACACAGATGCTCACAAAATTTTTGTGCACAAAAAACAAAACAGAGGGACACTGCTCCACAGGGCGGGTGCCTTAGGCCCAAGAACGAACCTGTTGACCACCAGGTGGCACTGTACACTAAACACAGCTTGGTGTTGGCCACAGTCTGAGGTGCAGAGTAAAGTTGGTATAGAAACCCAGAGGGTGCCAGCACAGTGCCTCACGCCTGTAATCCTAGCACTCTGGGAGGCCGAGGTGGGAGGATCGCTTGAGGCCAGGAGTTCAAGACCAGTCTGAGCAAGAGTGAGACCCCCATCTCTTAAAAAAAAAAAAAAAATCACAGTGCTTACAATGGAATATTACTCAGCCTGTAAAAGTGAGGAGATTCTATTGCACTCTAGCCTGGGTGACAGAGTGAGACCCTGTCTGTTTAAAAAGAAAAAAAAGGAAATTCTGATACGCTACAGCCTTAAAGACATTATGCTAAGTGAAATAAACCAGGCACAAAAGGACAAATACCATGTGGTTCCACTTGTGTGAGGTCCTCCAGCAGCCAGATCCGCAGAGAGAGAATGGTGGTTGCCAGGGCTGGGGTGAGGGGGTGGGATGGGGAGTTGTCAACAGGGACAGAGTTTCGGTTGGGAAGATGACGAATTTCTAGAGCTAGATGGTGGTGATGGCTGCACAACAATATACTTAACACCACTGAGCTGGATGCTTAAAAATGGGTAAGATGGTACATTTCATATTTTACCACAATTTAAAAAACAAAAACACAGCAGAGTGCCCATACCGTTCTCTGATAACTGCCTAAAGGCCAGGTAGTGGATGCACCTTCTAAAACAGGCAAATGGGGAGAGGACGTTCCCCCAGTCCTGCCTGCTGCACCTTCACCTGCCCAAATCCCCACTCAGTTCTCTCTGCATCTTGCCCACTCAGTGATCAAATGCCTGCTCTGCAGGGGCCCTGGGCCGGCACCGAGAACGCCCTCTGCAGGGACGGGCCACGGTCTGCACAGCACGGCTCCCTCCGGTCCGCTCCATTTACCTTCCCCAGCCCATCCTCAGTCCACACGTTTCCAGCGTTCTTCTCTCTCGCAACGTCCATTTTAATAAAAAATATTGTCTTAGTCCGTTCATGCACTGTAACAAAATACCGTAGACAGGGTAATTTAGCAATTAATAGAAATCTGTCGCTTACGGCGGTTCTGGAGGCTGGGAAGTCCAAGATCAAGGTGCCGATAGATTCTGTGCCTGGTGAGGGTCCATTTCTTACATGTGAGACCTTGTTGCTGCGTCCTCACGTGACCCAAGGACAAAAGGAAGAGGTGAACCGCCCCTCACACCGCTTCTATAAGGTCACTCACCCCATCCATGAAAGCTCCACTCTTGCGGTTTAACCCCCTCCTAAACACCCCACCTCTTAACACCATCACACTGGCAATTAGGTTCAACGTGAATTTGGGGGTTAGACCACAGCAAATACGTTGTGCAAGACTGTGGTTCGCATTTATTTTAATTTTAAAAGAGGGTCAGAACAGGTAATAGGTGGAGTTTTCTAAGGAAAGAAACCCTACTCCAGTGACTCTAGGGTCAGACACAAACGAGCCCTCCTCCATTAATCAAATCAGACTAAAATATACGACAGCAGCAAGTAACGCTCAGATCTCAATGGTTGAACACAAGTTTATTTTGTGCTTGTTGCATGCCCAGTTCAGGTGAAGACGCAGCCCGCTCCACAGCCGCCCAGGCTTATGGGCCCCACAAACGGCACAGTCTCCAGACCAGAATTACAGGTCGGCTGTTCATGGCCGGGCCTGGCAGCCACACACAGCACTGCCGCTTACATGTCACCGGTGAGGACGAATCACAGGCCCCTGCCTACCTGCAGCTGAAGGTTCGGCAGGCCGCACCGTCTCCGCTGTAATTTCTTTACCGCATCGAAGCCGAAACCGGGATTCCTTGTTCGTGAATCTGTTGCCCTCCCTGGACGGCAGCGCTCGAGCCTGGAGGCCTCAGATTACCATGCGGCGTTGGCGCCCAGCACACCCAGGTGCCCAGTGTTTGTGGAGTGAATGAACAGCGGCAGAAAGTCCAGGTGCCTCTAGAGGAGGTCGGAGTAGTACCTGGAAGGGTCAGTTCAGGAGGAGCTGCCCTCTCGGAAAAACGAAGCAGAGAAGCCAAGAAACAGTCCCACCGATTTTTTTCTTTTTATTTATTTTTTCTTATTTTTGAGTCCACTGCAGCAGTAGCAAATCCTACCAATTTTTAAAGCTAAAATAAACCTACTGCATAGAGTGCGACAGTCTGGGTGTAGCACGGCTCATCGTCGGGGTGGGTTTCCAGCAACAGTAACAAAACTGCACACACAGAAGAAAGGAAAATACGACTGCAGGGGTACAGATGGCTTTGGATAAAAATCCCGCTCCCAGAACAGTTTCCTGAATAAACGGGGCATAGAGGAAAGGTTTGACTTCTCCCTCATACTAAGTTTTTGGAGCTCAGAAAGACCAAGGTGCGATCCCTAGCTTACCAGGGAAGGAGCCTGTTTTTCCCTTGTAGAAGAATAAAGGGCATAAACCCTACAGAATTACCGCCTGTTTCCAACGTTGTCAGTTTTATTGACCTCTGTTTGCAAAATAGTGTACGTGGGTTCATCCAGATTCCAGAAGATATCTAAGGACACTTTCCGTCATGAGCAGGGTGCTACCCACTCAGGTGTGTACCTGTCGTTCCTGGTTAATCTATTAATAGCGCGTCTCCCAGCTCACTCTCAGAACTGTGTGGGTTTGGACAATCAATTGCCAATTCGTCCTTGTTGTAAGTAACAATTATAACTGGCTGGGAAAAGGTGACCTGGGGTCCTAGGACGGGACAGAGGAACAAACACGTGGCTGAGCCACCCGCTTGTGTGGGGCTGCGCACCTAGCTGGAGGGCCTGTTTGAAGACTAGGAGACCTGGCACTTGGCTGGGAGGAAGCCCAGGTGTTCCAGCCACTTCCTTAAGGACAGGGGGCGGCGGCCCCGCGCCCAGCCACCTGCTGTCTTCCCGACCAGCAGGTTCCCGATCTGTAAACTGGAATGATGATGTTTGCCCCCAAGGCCGTCTCTCTTACTCAGCCACGGTGGCCGTCACTCCACACGTAACGAAGAAGTGACGAGAGGGCAAACGGCGCTGGTCAAGGCTCGCAGCAATTCTCACATTGGCCGTTCACGAATCACGGGGCCGGTGCACAGGGCCCGATTTCGAGAAGGGGAAAGCGGGGTGCTCGGGAGAGAAAACTTGCACGAGGTCACGGCCCCCCACTGGCGGGGCAAGAGGGACCGGGACCCGGCCCAGGCCCGCGCCGACCACACACGGCACGTGTCCAGCGGGGGAGCGGCACGCACCCGGCCCCAGCCCGGGACCCCGCGTGCAGGTTTCCTTTCCTGTCCCCGCGTCACCGGCCGCCCCGAGCAACCCGCGGTGCAGAGGAGTAGGCACAACAAAGGGCCGGGGAAGCGCCTGGAAGACGGGTCCACGTCCTGCGCCCCAGGACAGGCCCGCAGCAGGTCATGGGGGATGGCACCGAGTGTCCTCCTCCCTTCGGGGCCGTCACCTTTCAGACTCGCTCCCTCGCGGGGAGGAGGCGGAGCCCCCCGGCCCGGCCGGGAGCTCACGTAAGGCCAACGCGGGCTGCGCCCGGGTCCCCTCGGTGCGCGCGGCGCCCCCGGCCCGGGCGGGCCTGTCCCGGCCCAGTCCCCCGGCTCGGCCGGCGGCGGCGGGGAGGCCGGACCGCGGCCCGCGGCGCGCTGGGCGGCGGCGCCCTCGCAGCCCCGGCTTCCCGGGGGAGGAGCAGCGCATCGCGCAAGCATCCGGGAGCGGCGCAGGGGGCGGGAGGAAGGGCGAGCGGAGGAAGCGGGATTTAAACGAGAGGCGGTGACGCCACACAAAAGGCTTCTATAGGCTCCGGGCGGCGGCGGCGGCGGCGGCGAGCCGGGCGCGGCGCGGACGGGAAGCGGGAAGCCGAGCGGAGCCGCGCGGAGGAAGCGGCGCCTTCCCGGGCCTGCCGCCCCCGCCCTTCCTCTCGGTTTCTCCCGCGCGCTCGGAAGTTGGTGCCGCTGAAAATGGCAGGGGCCGGGGCCCGGGCCGGCCGCCGCCGCGGCGCCGCGGGGACCTTCTGAGTGCGCCGGAGACGTGCGGGGTCCGATGCGCAGAGCCCGCGGCCCCGGGGGAGCTCAGCCGCTGCGGGCCCGCGACGCGGAGGCGACGGGGATGGACTCGCGCCGACAGCCAGCGGCCGGCCGCCGGGCGCGCGGTCCGGGAGGGCGTGCGGCCGCGGGCCCGGGCTGCGCCCAGTGAGCCCGAGAGGCGGGAACGGGCCGCGCGGTGCCGGGCACGCCCGGGCGCGGTGGGCGGGCGACAGCGCGAGCGGGGCGGCCGCTGTGCGCAATCAGTGCAGCCTCCCGCCCGACTCTGACTGCGCGGCCGCGGCAGCGCCGGCCACACCCTCGGCCCTGCCGCCGGCGCCGCGTCCCGAGAACGGGAGGCGGGAGATGCGCGCGGGGCGGCCGCGCGTCCCGCAAAGCCAGCCCGGGCCGCCGTCGCGGGGTCGCGCCGCCTGAAGCCCACGTGCGCCGCGGGCCGGAGGCGGCCGCGAGCGGCTCCTGCAGGACAGCCGGCCGGGGCGGCCGCCGCGCGGCTCCCGAGGAGGGGATTTCGGTTTCAAAGAAAGGAAGGAAGGAAGGACAACTCCCAGCCGCCCGCCCCGCCCTCCGCTCCGGCGGCCGCGCCGGGTCATGCCCAGAAAGGCGGCGGCGGCCCAGCGCGAGGGACTCTCCTGGCAGCGCGGCGACGAGGAGCGAGGACCGTGAGTTCGCCCTGCCCCGGTTCATGGTTCCGGCAGGCCCGCCAGAAGGCCCGACGCCGAAGCCGCTCCCCGCGCCCCGAAGAGCCTCCCGCGCCCCGTGGCCCGCGGGCCGCCGCCGCCGCGCCGCAGCCCAGCGCCCTCTGCCCGCGGCGGTGGATGGCATGATGGTGCGGGCAAGGCAGCGCGGCCCGGGCCAGCACAGTCGCGACGGCCGCCGGGGCGGCGGTGGTGGTAGCGGGCTCCCCAGCGGCATGCCAGTGCCCCCCGGGCGCGATGGCTAGCGGCAGCGCGGGGAAGCCCACTGGCGAGGCGGCTTCTCCGGTTCCTGCGAGCGCCGTCGGCGGGGCCGGCCCGCAGCCGCGGAAGAGGCTGGTGTCCGTGTGTGACCACTGCAAGGGCAAGATGCAGCTGGTGGCCGACCTGCTGCTGCTGTCGAGCGAGGCGCGGCCCGTGCTCTTCGAGGGCGCCGCCGCCGCCGCCGCCGGCGCGGGCGCCGAGTCCTTCGAGCAGTGCCGGGACAGCATCATCGCGCGCACCAAGGGGCTCTCCATCCTCACGCACGACGTGCAGAGCCAGCTCAACATGGGCCGCTTTGGGGAGGCGGGGGACAGCCTGGCGGAACTGGGCGACCTGGTGGTGTCGCTGACGGAGTGCTCGGCCCACGCGGCCTACCTGGCGGCCGTGGCCACGCCGGGCGCGCAGCCCGCGCAGCCGGGCCTGGTGGACCGCTACCGCGTGACGCGCTGCCGGCACGAGGTGGAGCAGGGCTGCGCCGTGCTGCGCGCCACGCCGCTGGCCGACCTGACGCCGCAGCTGCTGCTGGAGGTGTCGCAGGGCCTGTCGCGCAACCTCAAGTTCCTGACGGACGCGTGCGCCCTGGCCAGCGACCGGTCGCGGGACCGCTTCTCGCGCGAGCAGTTCAAGCTGGGCGTCAAGTGCATGAGCACGAGCGCGTCGGCGCTGCTGGCCTGCGTGCGCGAGGTGAAGGCGGCGCCCAGCGAGCTCGCGCGCAGCCGCTGCGCGCTCTTCAGCGGGCCGCTGGTGCAGGCGGTGGGCGCGCTGGTGGGCTTCGCCACCGAGCCGCAGTTCCTGGGCCGCGCGGCCGCCGTGAGCGCCGAGGGCAAGGCGGCGCAGACGGCCATCCTGGGCGGCGCCATGAGCGTGGTGTCGGCCTGCGTGCTCCTGACCCAGTGCCTCAGGGACCTGGCGCAGCACCCCGACGGGGGCGCCAGGACGTCGGACCACAGGGAGCGGCTGCGGAGCTCGGCCTGCGCCGTGTCCGAGGGCTGCACCCTGCTATCTCAGGCTTTACGGGAGAGGTCTTCGCCCCGGACTTTACCGCCAGTGAATTCCAATTCTGTGAATTAGCACCCCCTACCCCTCCTCCACGCAGGCTAAGGGGCGTTTCTCTCTCCGCCCCTCTCCGTTTATACCAAAGAGCTCACAGGTGGAGCCCACGCGTGCGCCCGGCGGCAGTGCGCGAGAGGAAGCCTGGGGAGGCCGGGCCGCGCGCGCAGGTGTGTGCGCGCAGGTGACACGCCCGAGGGCCCCGGTGGCCGCCGGCCCGCGTTGGGACTGGGAGTGGAAGGTGTATGGTCTGCTGGCTGTGGTGTTGCTCCCGCCCCTACCCGGCCCATCTTCCCGAATTTCTCAACTAAATTTTATGATCGACTAGGCAGGAAGGAGGTCATGGGTTCATTTCTTTTTTGGTTTTGTTTCTGTCTTCTTTTCATTCAGAGAAAGGTTACCTCAGTTTTCACTCCTTAGACATGGATGTAGCTACCTTTTTTGTATGTCGTTATTTTTTTAAGCAACTGTGTTGAATTAGGAGTATCCTTGGTGTGGAAAGAGTATGAATTTGCCATGTGATTTGCAAATGGGGGGAAGCTACTGTGAGCGTGTGTTTTATTTTTTAATTTACACTATAGAGTGATTTTTTTTTTCCCCCAATGTCAAGTTTTTACCTTGCATGTACTGGAGTATTTATTTCATCTATTAAAATGTTATGTTTCTCAGATGGCTTTCTGCAATTGCGTTTTCAATGATTGTAATTTTACATGGTGCATGTATAGAAGGGGCCTGTGGAAAGGCCCTTCAGTAGTAGGGAGGTGGGTCCCCAATGCCCAGCCCTTCCTGCTTTTCTCTCAAGAATACTCCTTTGAGCAGCCTGGTATTGCAAGACAAGAGGACTGTGTGTAACAGTTTTTAAAGGCAGGTGACACAAATGTTAGTGAATTACGTACAGAGCTTGAGACAAGCTGTAAGTGGGGGTTTGGGTCTTGCCTCTAATTTCTCCCGGACAGTGATGTAGCTTCCTTTGTCGCGGCTCATCTTTCCTTCGTGGTGGACAGGAGTTCGGGCCGGCTGAAGTCAGGTTTGTACACTGCCTGTCATTTTCGGGTTAAAGCACTGCCTGATCCCGTGTGGTGTGCCCGCCTTCCTGGCTCGGAGTGTCTGGGTACGGAGCTGTAAAAGTGCTGTGGGTCAAGAGTACTTAGCATCTTTTATGTAGACAGGGCTATTCAGACAAGATCCTCATGGTTTTAGGAAATATAGGATGTCCTAAACTGTTTAATAGAGAAAGAGGTGTTCTGGAAAGTGTTAAGAACTTTCTAGAACCACAGCATAATTGTAGGCAAAGTGCCTAGTTTTGTGACCTTGATCTCAGATATGCTGGGTTGATTGTATGTTAGAAGAATGCTTTGTTGATTGATATTTGGAGTTATATTAAGGTAGTTTGTCCTTACTGCAGGCAATTTAAGGAATTTTTTTTTTTTTTGTCTGGTGGTGGGATGTATAGTTTTACTGAACCTAGTTAAATTTTGAGCATTTTCCCACTAAAAGCACAGATTTATTTACAGTGCTTGAAGCCTGGGAGGGCCACATGGGTAAAAGCTCATACATGCTTTAAATTTGTTCAGTTTACATTTTTCTTGGGATTTGTTGTGCTTAAACCTCTGCAGTTCCCACAAATCTGAAAAGAAAGATTTTTTCACTGTAATACATTAGAGAGAGAAGAAAGTCATACTGACTGTTTTATTTGCTTGAATGGCTGTATTTATTACAAGAACATGAAATTCAATGTGTAAAAATGTCTTCAAACCTGTATAGGGCGAGACTAGGACTGTTTCATTGCCCTGAATTTGAAGTTTGGAAAGGTCTTAAAGTGGTGGGTACACACATTTTTTTAAAAACAGTCAAGGGAGCAATTGGTTTTCTCTCTTAGGTCCTGGTAACTTTAAGTTTTTTAAGTCTTTAAAAGATAAAGATGACCTTGAGAATGTTTATTCCTCTCCCCCTGCCCTTCTGTAAAGTCTGGATCAGGTTCGGGAAGAACTGGGGGTGGGGTGCTAACTCGTGTGTCAGTGACAACTCCGCATGCATGGTGAAATTTTTATTTTTATTGGATTTACACAAGTACTGACAGAGTTCACGTACGTGGTTCATTTAGCCAACGCTGATCACAAAGAGCAAACGAAAAGGAAGAAACACAGAGCAAAATAAGGACGAGAAATCTGTAAGTTTGGTATTCGATTAAGAAAAAAAGAATTGCCAATTTTTCCCTGGACTCATTTCTTGCACAAGCCATCTTCAGGACAATTCAAGCCAAAAAAAAAAAAATCACTTTCCCTATCTACTTAGATGAAGTAAACTAGTCACCAGATTAATTTTGAAACTGGTTAGCCAAATGATAGCTGCTCTCAATGTTTCTGGGTCTTAAAGGTTTCGTCATGTAATAAGCAAAATCTCTATCCTCTGAAGCTGATAAGAGTTTCAAACTTTAAGAAAAGTGGTATTTTGACCTCTTCTCCCCCCTTCTGTTTATGAGACAAAGGTTCAGGGTGTTTTCCCAGCAGGTGTCTGGAAATGAATTTTGCTTGCACTTTTCCCCAGGAGGGTTCGGCAAGCCAGAGTGAGGGGTGCGCAGTGTGAGTGTCTGGGTCGCTGGGCTGGGAAGGGATGTGAGCACAGGCCTTTGACATTTTAACTTTATTCCAGTGTTCCAGGTTGCTAAAGTTGCTTTTTAAATAGACCTGATTTTAAAAAGCAGCATCTCAGACCTATTTCATAACAGGGTTTAATAAGGTCAGTAGAGACACTGGTTCCAGGAATAAAATCAGAGTGGCCTGATTTTTAAAAAAATTTTTAAAATTAAACCGCAACAGAGTGAATTTAAGACATCAGTACTTGGGTCCTGCTGGCTTCCGGGGGCAAGTTTCTTACACAGGCTTAACAGGCACCGTCCTGACCAGGGCATGTTGAGAACCTTCTTCCTTTGAATGGTCATGAGAAGAGGAAATAATTATGGCCAAGTTCTCTGAACAAAAGACATTATTTATGACAGTCAACCCAGAAAATGGGACAAAAACAAGGCTTTCAAACATAAGACTTAACCAGAAAAAAGCACAGCTCTATCTTTGGCTGTTTTGGCCTTTATTATTCATTCTGGTTGATGTTAGGAAATGCAAAAATTACATGGGTGTGTGTGTGTGTGTGTGTGTGTTTTTGTTCTCCCCCAGCCTCTATCCTCATCTTTATAATTCTGGAAGCGTCAGTTAAATGTATCTGATTGGTTTTTTACAAACACTTTTTTTTTTTAAGCTGGAATAGGGATCTGAAATATTTGGCAGTTTGAAACAGCTAATTTTAACAGAAACACCTGTTTTTCCGAACGAGTGTGACTATGGTAACATGCAGATCAGGCAGAGCATTTGACAAACGGCTGCCAGAGCGCTTTCTGAGCCTCGCTCAGTAAACGAGAAAGGATTTGGAGAAGAAATCCTTGAAGACTTAGCAGCGTTTTCACCTGGGGCTGTTCCCTGGGCTTCCGCCTGGTTTCCAGCAACTGGAAGAGTCTTCAAGGAGACCACACTGGAGATGTCCGGGTTTCTGATGTAAACACAGATATTTGTGTTCTCTCCAGGCACATTCTCATCTTGATTTAATTTTGTTTGTTCATGTTTGGAGTATGTGTGAAATGAATTGATCCATTTCGAGTAAGTAGGATTTTCTCCGGGGTCCTTTGGATAGGTGAGTCGTCTTCCACCTCAGTGGCGGCAGGCTTTAAGATCTAACTGCCCAGATGTCAAGAAGGCAACAGTGTGACACTAGTGTCTGTGACTGGGGTCAATGTAACTGCAAGTCCCTTAAGATTAAGGGGCTGTCGTGCCCGGCACGTGTGTAATTGTTTGTGTTTTGAAGTGAATGTATGTATGTGATACTTGGCAGGACGTATACATGATCATGTAGTAAAATTGCTCTCGGAAATGAAGGTTAAGGTGGTCACTCCTTTGGCAAATATTTATCGGGGGCAAACTTGTGGACCAGACACTGCCAGGTGCTGGGGTGCAGCCGTGAGGGGCGAGACAGGTGGCTGTCCGGACTCAGTGCTGCCTGAAGCGCGAAAGGCGCGTGGCCCGTCGTCCGGGCTCCCATAGGCCGCTTCCGTCAGAAACTCCTGTGTTTTATCAGCTGATCCTGAGGATGCCCAAGTTGGAAAGCGCTGCCCTGCGTGGTCTGCTGGCCTTTCCGTTCCCTCCCAGGTCCGAGTCCAGGGTGCTCCTGCGTCAGGAGGCAGCGGCGTTTCTGCAGGTTGCTCGTTAGCGCAGGTGTTTTCTTCTGGATGTTGTGAGGCTTTTTCTTCAGATACAGAAGACAAGTTGGTCTCCTGTGAATTTGGAATCTCTGAGAATCCAGGTTTTTCTTTCGGAGGGGTGTGTGTGTGTGTGTGTCTGGGTGTGTTTGCAAGCACAGAGCTCTTTCCCACCTCCCACCACCGTTTGGAGATGCTCTGAGCAAAATAGCTTCCTATGTTTTTACGTGTTGTTGACTCTTGTCCTGAAAACTGGAAATAGCAGAGAAGCTAATTAACACTCAGCGCGTTAGCTCCTTGGCTGCCAAGAAAGAGCACTTTGCTATTGAGTTTGTGAAGTACTCTATTCACAACCAAATGTGTACAGACTTATTCCAGAGCTCACTAAGGTTAACAAAAGCCTGCGATACACTCAGGAAATATACCCTGCAAGACTGGCTGTGCACCAGGAATTGGGATGGTCTTTTAGCCTCTCATCCCCTGAGGGTGGTCCCAGCCTTGCCGTCCCCCAGGACTTGGTGGACACAGAGCCTCGGCCCTGCCCAGCGCCAGGCCTAGCTGAGGAGAACCTGCTCTTGGACAAGACCAGGCGGTGTCTGTCACATTAGCCTTTGAGAAGTACTCTTTTAGGGGGTAAATGTGGTGGCCATGACTAAATCATACTTTTATTCTTTACTGTGGGAACCTAGGCATTTATTTTGTTTATTTAGATCTTTTTAGTTTATAATGTGCTTTTCTGTGTATTATGTAATTGTATCCTTAGAGCACTCTCATGAAATAGGCAGGTATTACTCACTGTGCATGTCATCTAAATATTTGTGCCTCTGTTTTCCTGTTGTAAAAATTAAATCAAATATTTAGAACGAGTTCTCGTGAGGTGCAAGGCCTCGTCATGAGCTTTATAAGAGTAGTCCTGTCTACTTCATAAAGTCACCAAAAGTATGATCTGAAAAATCTTTATATTAAAGTCATTTTCTCTTAATAATGTTGCCTTTACCCATCCAGTGATCTGACACAGCAAGTTCACTGTGGCATCCTCAAGGATGTCCCAAATCGGGAGCACGGCCCTGTTTCCTCGGTCTTCCTCTGTGAAGTGTTCTGTGTGGTTTCAAACCTATCCAGATTTTCCAAAACAGCGCATGTCTTAAAATTTTAAAACCACATCACTCAAACATGTTAAACTTTGGGTAAGATTTGAATGCTAATTAAGGTTTGTTAGCATAATTTAAAAATGACTCCATGTACTGATTTTTTTGTTTTTGTTTTTTTTTAAGAGACGGGGTCTCACTTTGTCACCCAAGCTGGAGTGCAGTGGTGCAATCATAGCTCGCTGTAACCTGGAACTCCTGGGCTCAAGCGATCCTCCCGCCTCAGCCTCCCAAGTAGCTGGGACTACAGGTGCACACCACCACACCTGGCTAATA